AGGGATGGAAAAAGAGAGCGGAAAGAATGAAAACAAAGGAAGGAAGGGAAAGGTATATGTGGGAAAGCAAGAGAAGAAGGAAAGAAAGATGGACAAGGTGTACATGGCTCAAACAAAATGCCACAACCAAAACACAAACCTAGGCAAGATTGGGTATTATAAACAATTGAAACTGATGCTGAATCTCTTGCACCTGTCTGTCTCAAACACACACAAACATGAAATTCAGATTGGAAAAACTACTTTTAAGAAGGCCCATGATAATAACTCACTGAAGCCATCCATGTCTGACTATCAGCAGAATAGTGTGCAGTGTCCCAGAACATCTTTTTGTGTCCATTCCATTATGGATAACGTCAGCATTTCATTATATTCATTCTTACCAAGAGCAACTTCCCAACCTCTGATGTGGAATACCACTGCCACCTTGGCTTAACTACACAGACATTAAAACCTAGCAGGATCAGGCTGAACTAGATGAATTGGTTCCATTTGGGGTGACCAGCTGGTCCAGCCTGGACAAAACCACCTGCCCAAACTTCTGCAGCATGGATCACCTCCAGGAGGCAAGAATCCCCATTCGCTGGCTGTGCTTTCCTTCCCTTCTCTCGCTGTCTTTCTCTCTTTACTTGCCAGCAAGAGAAAGTTGAGGGAGAGCACACACAAGGCTGGCAAGTCCTTCTGCGTTTGCTGATCTTGGGTCCTTTTCTTTGGTTTGCAAGGTTGGCTTAGAAGGCAAAGATACTGCCTTCAATTTGCTGACTGCCAGCCCCTCACAGACTGAAGTAGTCTAGCTCCATCTTGCTGCTACACAAACATTTCTGGTCGGTGCCCAACAATGGATGAATCCCACACATGGCTGCACCCCAAGACTTACAGCTATCTGCTCCATCCCTCCTGGTGAAGGATTAAGAGGTTAAGTAGTTCCTGGACTGTCCCGTCTTCTTACAGATTTACAAAGTATACACAGCTGAAAGCTATCATCAGCTGGTAAAATTGCTCTTGCGCATCTAGGCTGTTTAATAAATATGCAAAGAAAGAAACACCAGACCAGATCAGGCCCTTATAAGCAGATGCAAGCAGATGAAAAGGGGAAAGGCATTGACTTACAAGCCTGACCTCATGCCACTGAAGGAAATGGAACTAAATTGATTCTAATGTAAGTGCCCTGAAGTTCATAATTCAGGCAGAAAGACAATATTGAAAGGTCTCCTGGCATTTCAAGTTTAATGCATTACACATCATAACAGAAAAAGAAAAATTGCTACTTATTCTTGAGACCACACATTGACTTTGTTATAACAACCAACTATTTGTGTGAGAGTGTATGTGTATTTGTATCTATATGTATATATGTATACTATTCTTTTCTCACCCAAAGAACTCAAATATGTACCCCAATCCAGAGCCCTGGGCATGCTCTCACGTCAGTGAGAGAACTCTGGACATGCTCCAGACAATAATCGGTGGACTCCTCACTCTTTCCAACCTTCTGGCATTTTTAAAGTTTGCAAATTCAAATGCACTTGCGAGGGGTAAATTGCTTCTTGCCACAGCCAAAGTAGCTGCATTTTTATTTATCCATTTACTCATAAAATATATACCCCATTCCAATGCTTCTAGAAAAGCAATTCCTCTTTGAATTAACCCTTCACATAGTAATTGGAAACTTTTAAAGGGGAGGAATTGAGTTTTTCCTTTGAAGCTCTTTACATTGGGTCCTTTGAATTACAGGGTTACAAACATCCGACTTACAAACGACTCATAGTTAAGAACAGGGGTGAGACAAAGTGAGAGAAATCAACCCCTCAGTAAGGAAATCCACTCTTGAAAGAGTTATCATGGAGAAAAGGTGTCTCCACTGAAGCTTTAGCACTAATCCTTGTTTCCACCATAAGCCAGATTTTTCGAAATCCAATTATCACAGGGACAGAAAGTGAGATACAATCTTCTGACAGCATAGACAGCAAAACAAAAACCACAGGGGTTAACCTTTCCCTATGCTACCCAAGACATACACACACACACACACACACATACACACACACATTTATTTATTTATTTATTTTTGCTTCTGTACCCCAAGGGGGACTCAAAGCGATTCACAGCAAAGTAAATGGCAAAATTCAATGCCTCACAAAGTATAAAACACGGCACATAACTAAAATACCATATAATAGTAAATTAAAATCAGTGAGCTATAAAACATCAACCATAAACAATATAACATAAAACATTAGACACTGCACCAATCCCTAAGTTATCTTGGCTGCTTCATCTCACTCTCCAAATGTTTGCTTTAAAAGCTATGTTTTGAGTAAGTTCCTGAACACCAGGAGGGAGGGGGGCAATCTGATCTCACTGGGGAGGGAGTTGCACAGCTTAGGGGCCACCACTGAGAAGGCCCTGTTTCTCATCCCTACCAGTCACACCTAAAGTATATATATATACTTTAGCTGGAATGCCACATTTAAAATGTACCTGTTCCGGCTTACATACAAATTCAACTTAAAAACAAACCTAAACAAACTATCTTGTTTGTAACTTAGGGACTGCCTGTAGTGATACTTTTATTTCGCCAACCAAAATGCATCATGCAAGCTTTCAAAGCTCTAATGGCTTCTTAGTCAGGTAAGGATGTGGAAAGTCACACAGAAGAAGAAAATGGCAATATCAGAGTAACAGGCTTACATTTTGCCTCAGATATTAGTCTGTTGTCAGTTAAGATGGTCTGGAGGGTCTCAACACAGCGGATGCCAATCCCCTTCTTGACCAGGTGGGGATGGAGACAAAGGGAATATAATGACAGGCAATAAAATTTCAACCCCATTGACTAAAGAAATTAAATCGTTGTACATTTGGGTTAGCCAACAAAAGTACAATCAGCTCTCCACATTCGCTGGCGCTAGGGGCACAGGAGCCCATGAAAAAACATAAATAAAAGGAATGACTTAATAAAAAAAACTAAGATAGCACACCTCTAGAAATTTCAAGCATGAGTCTATGGTCAACTTCCATTAGAAGTTGAACACAGAATTGCACTGGAAGACTTGGAGAGTTCTAGAGAGAACATTTTATTCAAATCTGTGAATCATCAGATCTGCAAAACTAAAAACCACAAAGGTACGAGGTTAATTGTATCACTATTTTGTGAATTTTGTTGCACGACCAACATGGCTACCCCTGAATATGTTTACAATGACATGATGACTTCACTCTGGACAAAGGCTACCAGTCATGGGCTGCCACACAGTGAAGACATTGGCCCTTTGCTACTCTGCTTCTGAATATGCATGCCCAGTGTAGAGTACATCTCACCACATTAAAACAGTGGATGTGGCTCTTAATGAGATATGCTGCATTATCACAAGATGTCTATGCCCTACATCACTGGAGAAATTAGACTGTTTAGCCAATATTGAACCACTTGATATCGCTGGGAAGTGGCAATCTTTAGTAAAAGGACCAAGGCATTGATATCTTGGGTCAATCCTCTGATTGGATATCAGCCAGCAAGCCAACGCCTTCAAACAAAAAACAGTTTCCTAAGATCTACAGAGATACTTGCAGGAACACCTCAGCGAGCGAGAGTCCAAAGTGGCAGGTTAAAACCCAGAACCTCAATCATTGGCTGATACCAGATGAGACTTAGAAGACACTGAACAGACTACATTCTGGCACCATGACATGCAGAGCTAACCTTAAGAAATAGGGTCACAAAGGTGGCGTCCACGACATGCGTGTGTGGAGAAAAGCAAACCACAGACCACTTACTACAATGCAGTCTGAGCCCTGCCACATGCACAATGGAGGACCTTCTTACAGCAACACCAGAGGCACTCCAAGTGGCCAGTTTCTGGTCAAAAGAAATTTGGCGTAATGCCAAGTTTTTTACTTTGTTTCTGGTTTTTTGATACATTATAATTGTATTCTCAGTTTGCTTCTGACACAATAAATAAATAAATAAATAAATTCTGTGGCAAGTTTCTAGGGGGAAAGGGGGAACAGGGCAAAAATAAGATAGAAGAAGCATTTGTTTAAGATACTTAAAGGGATGTTCTTGCAAGAAAGAACCTAGATCAGGTTTAAAAATCATGCTGTTGGATTTCAAGTCCAAGCAGATTTAGCTAGCACAGCCAGTAGAGAGAAGTGCTGGGTACTGTTGTCCAACAACATCAGCAAGGGTGCATGATTCCCATCTGATTCTAGAAGAACTACTGAAAGTGGCTAGTAGCATTTCCATCTCAATCCTAAAAGTGTGATACAGAAGGTGATGGTTCTCCAAAACCAAACAGAGGTATCTTCAGAGGAAAGCCAGGTTTCAGCAACCTTCCTCGGCACAGTAATCTCTCCTTTTTGGGACGATCATCTTATCAAACCCCCCAGTCTCCCTAGGAGCCTCTTTTAATTCCCATGACAGCTGTCAGATGAAAATCATTACAACAGGTCATAAGTGTGAATGTGGAGAGAAACGCTATGAGCAGGAATTTAGCATTCTGTCTATAGAACATTCCTAAAAGATCCATCTGTCTGAACAAATCCCAGCCTCAGAATGCCATCTATGCAAAGTGTCCATTTATCTGCATTCAAACGGAGGTGGGTACCACCTTTTCTGTGAGATAAGGCTGCGCAATTTTTCTATCTTATGTTCTTTCAAAGTTGTCATTCATGTGAGAAGCCTGTAACTTATTGCCACTTTTCTTCTTCTCCTTTTTTTGCAAGTTCACAGTAAGCAGGGCATTAAAAAAACAGCTCTCTTCTCTCAGAATGGCACCAAACATGTGCCTTATACTTTAGCTCAAATATATTTTGCATGACCTTACATGAATTGCTTAGATAAAAGCCTTTTTTTCCTTCTGCTTTTGTTATTTTAAAGTGCAGATGCATTTGAGTCATTTTCCCCCTTTGTTTCATATCCTTAAGATCCACAGCTTCAAAGACAGAATGTCAGCATGCAGTCGATTTATGACTGAACTCTTGAAGAGACACTGAAGAATTACCTTGTCAATCACCCCAAGGACTCTAAAGGCCTTCAGTTCCTCGGCAGGGCTCCTTAGGTTCCAAGAAGGCCTTGAACTTAGTGATCCTGGAGGCTAATGGAAGATATCAAAGATTACAACATCAATCAGGGTGGTACTTGAAGGAAGACTGCCTGCTGAAGCAAATGCCAGGCTGAAGGAAACTAAATTTATCATAAATCAGAGAGAGGGGAGATGAAAGAAGTTTGCTGTTTGTCCTTAATGCAAAAAAGAAAAAAGAAGTTGAGAGTAAATAAATTGCAGGGACACTGAAAATGGAAATATAGCCCAAAAAAAGGGAAATATTTTTTATATATATATATATATATATATATATATATATATATGCTCGCAATTTAGGCAATTTCCCTGCTCTTTGCACACACAATGAAACTCAGGAACATTTCTGGAAAAGAACCATCTATACCCATAACTGTGGGTATGAAATAATATAAATAGAGAGGCAGAAGTATAGAGGAGACAGAGGAAATGGTTGCTGTGAGTTTTCCGGGCTGTGTGGCCATGTTCCAGAAGCATTCTCTCCTGACGTTCAGGGCGAAATGTCAGGAGAGAATGGCCACACAGGCTGGAAAACTCACAGCAACCAAGTGACTCCAAACATGAAAGCCTTCAACAACACGTCTTAAATATATCAGAAACTATCTTTACCCAACCTGCTGTTACTTAACTGTCAGAAGGTATCTCTAACCTTTATTGACCATGCTGACTCTGGCTCATGGGTATTGTAATTCAAGACACCTGGGCTGTTGAAATCTAGTGAAATATTGTTTTTAAAAAGGAATCGCTTCTGAAATGATGGGTAGCTTTCCATGCCCAGCTCTCTACAGATAGGAAGGAACTTTTAGCACCAAGAATTGCAGAAAACCTATGCATTGTATAAATAGATTTCCATGGAATCCTAATCTGCATGGAATATGGGTGTCTAGGGACAAGGGCATTTCCATGTCCAATTTTGGGAGTGGGGCAGCATATGACCCTTCCTTCACATGGGGAAGAACAGGAACAGATAACCATGAGCCCGCCAGATGTTTTGGACTGCAGCTCCATGGCCAATAACCAGGGACTATCTAAGCTGTACCCCAAAACATCTAAAGATTGCCAGTCTATAAATTACTGGATATATAACACATTGAGAGAGTAGCACAGAATACTGGAAAGGGGGAACAGAAAAAAAGTTGAGGTGAGACCATAATCTTCCTCTGGCTTTTATACAAAGCTTTTCTTTGCATCAATGGGACAAGCAAAAGAATTTCAGAAATCCAGATGTGCAAAAATCTGTTTTTAAGTTTGGCTATAATCTCAACAATATGGTTAAAGCAGAAGAAGAAGTTGACAAATTACAAGTCATAAGACACATGCAGCTCCTCAAGAAAGACCCTTAAACTGCCCACCAAAAAAAGAATAAAATTTTGAAGTCTGCCAAGCATATGTTGGAATTTCTGCTCATTTCTGTTTCTGTGTTCTTTTTTGCTTGCTGTGAAAAAAACAGCTCAAAACAAAAATAGAAAGAGCAGTAATTGCCATTCCGTAAATCAGAATAATCTCCCCTCCACTTTCCTTGTTCTCAGCAACTAGCTGCCTTTGACTTTTCTTAGGGTTGTTCAAAGTAAGATGAAAGACTCATTTGCCCTTTTTTGTCCTTCCATGATACAAATGTAGACAGACAGGAAGTTTGCAACTTTTAACGTTCGCTACGTGAGAGCAGTCATTGACAATCACACATAGTTTTGTGTGACTGCAATAAAAGACATCTATGCTAAGAACAGAAAGGTCCTCGGGGATTTATTTTTATTTTTATTTTTTGCTGCTGTTGAAGAAGGGCAAAGTCAAGATTTGTTAAAGGATGACTTGGGCCTCAACTGCAAATCCAAATGCAAGGATTCCAGCTCTACAATTCAGACTTAGCTTTGTCTGCCAGAAGTACTACTATAATGAACCATTACGTTGGGTGTCCCTTATGTGAAAATGCTTGGGACCAAAAGTGTTTGGGATTTTTTCCATTTGCACATACATACATAATGAAATATCTTGGAAAGGGGACCCAAGTCTAAACATGAAATTTGCTTATGTTTTTTATATATTTACATTACATACATAACATGACAATAATTTCATAATCATTATATTTTTAATAATTTTGTTCATGAAACACTGTTTGAGTACACTGAATATGTTTGAGGTGGTAAACAATAACAACAGATAAAATCCTGGTTCTCTTTTCATTAAGAAGACCTTCTTAAAAAGGAAGCTACAAATAATTATACCACTACTGTTATACTGATTTCATTTCAATCTTTTTAATTAGACTTCACTATTACTGATCAATTTTAATATATATTCCTCTTTATTAAGCGGAAATTCTGTACACAGATGAAGTTATTCCCGACAGGCCAAACAGGCCAGGAAAACTATCTCTAATTTGTTCCATATATTCATTTAACATTATTAACTTTCTACTGATAATCGTAAGGTGATACAAGTAGCTACAAACAGCAAAAAATCTATGTATGCATGTGTACAGTCAAGGGCACATACACACAATGTTTAAAGTATTCTATTCATAAAGCAGATCTTACCCCAGATGTCGAACCATCTTCTGATGAGGGTCTACAATACAGGCTGGAAATTTTTTCTGCTCTCATCAAGTATTCTGAAGTTTTCTTTTTCACTGCTTCACGGCGAGTTGGACTTGATTCTCCTGTGTGCCAAAAGAGAACATTTATTGCTACAAGACCATCAGCTTTGCAAAGTTTAATCTATCAGAAAACCTACATAAAAACTCTAAGCATCACTCAAGTCAAAAAAGAAGCACAATGAAAGCCCTGGCAGACTGTGCAAAAAGAATCTGCGAACCTCACCTCCTCCAAGGTGAACTGAACCAATTAAACTGGGCTCTACAGGCCAATGGATACTCCACCACACACATCAGAAGAAATGCAAGACCAAGAACAAGCCATGAGAGTACAGACAAAGATCCAACCAGAGGAAAAGTCTACCATACATCATGAGAACCACTGACCACATAGGGAAGCTGATGAAGGAACACAACCTACAAACTATCTACAGACCCACTAAGTAAATCCAATAAATGCTACATTCAGCAAATGACAAGAGGGATCTTCTCACCTCTGCAGGAGTCTACCATATACCATACAGCTGTGGACGAATCTACAAAGGGACCACCAAACGCAGCAAGGCCCAAACATGAATCAAGGAACATTGCAAACTAATTCAACCAGAGAAGACAGCCATAGCATAGAACTTGATGAACCAACCTGGACACAGCTTATTATTTGAGAACACATAAATGCTGGACCACTCTAACAACCATCATGTTAGACTACACAGAGAAGCCATTGAAATCACAAGCATGTGGATAATTTCAACAGAAAGGAGGAAACCATGAAAATGAACAAAATCTGGCTACCTGCATTAAAAAAAAAACTCTAGAATCAGGACAGTAAATAAAGAGCAACACTAAAAACAGGGGAATTCCAGACAGGAAAAAAATCAGAGCCAGCTAACACCACCCAACAAAGGATTCCCCCAGCCAGGCTCTGAAGTTGCAAGGTCACTCAATGCTAATCAAGCTGGCAGTTGCAACATTCACACTTGCCTCAAGGAAACACAAGTTCTTTTTTCTTACTTTCTGCCTGCCTGCCTGTCTGCCTTCTTTCTTTCTTTCTTTCTTTCTCTCTCTCTCTCTCTCTCTCTCTCTCTCTCTCTCTCTCTCTCTCTCTCTTTCTTTCTTTCTTTCTTTCTTTCTTTCTTTCTTGGACCTTCTCTAAACAAATAAAGAAATCCATACTTCCCTCAAATCCAGAGCTGGCAATCTACATCATGCACTGCAACTATTGGTAATTATCTCAAATCTTTTGCCCTTAACCCACCTTTGTTCTGTTTTAAGAAAAATTGGGGAATAATCCAGAGTTTGCAGGAAAATCTGGAGTATCTGCGGGTTTTATAACCATTGAGACAGCTAGACCAGGGTCCCTTTCAGCCCAATACACTGCTACCATCATCCTTAGCCAGTAACCAACAAACATGCCAAAAGGCTGCCACTTGAAAAACACATTTGCCTCAGATAAGACCCAACTAAAATTAGGGATTAGCGCACCATGTCTTCTACACGAAGTAAGTGCTCTTCAAAGATACTAGACTGCAACTGACTACATCTGCATGGAACCAGTTTGAGGCACTGGTATTAAAGAGAAACCCATTTCTTAATACTACAAATTTTACTGTAAAGAAAAGTTAAGGCAATGAAACAATTATTTAACAACAAGAAATCTACACATTAAGATACTGTATTATTTTTATAAGATTATGTTTTTAAAAAGTAATTTTATAAACACATACATACAGATACAGACCAGGGTGAGAACTGTGCAGCTTGTGCATTGTAAGCATCCCCAAAAGTTTTCTATGCAGCCCTGACAATATTCAAGGAATAATAAAATAAAACATCAAGTTCTCATATGACCTCATTCTCTATTTAACGGTGGGGGGGGGGGGKGGGGGGGGGAACCTTTGAAAACCTTGATGGAGCAAAAAGCCTGAGTCAACTTATCCATGTGTCAATATAGGTACTATAACTTAACTCTTTTTTAAAAAAAAAAGAACTATATCTGAGAACAGTGGTAAAAGGAGGGAAATTGATCCATCCTGGGAGAACCTAAAAGAAGCACCAGCTCCCTCTATTATTTTTACTATTGGATTTTTGAATACCTGGGTTGCAAAATAGTACAAGGGCAATAAATCTGGCCAATCAAAAGGTTGGCAGTTCAAAGCCAGGGTCAGAGGTGAGCGCCTGACCTTCAGCCCAGTTCATTGCCCACCTAGGAGATCAAAAACAGCTGTGAGTAGATAAATAGGTACCGCTGTAGTGGAAAGGTATTTTAATAGCACCATACAGATATATCAGAAAATGCCGACTATTCAATCAAAAGGAGGAAATCTGTGAACAGGGCTCTTCAGCCTAGAGGATGGAGCAACAGCACTTTCCCCCCTCCCCCGTTTCCGGAATTGAGCGCAACCTCCAAGACGCCGAAGATAGAAAAAGCCTATATACCTCTATCTGTACTGTTATCTGTCCTGTCACTGTATAATGGCATTGAATGTTATTGAATATTTACCGTATATATGTTCTATGATCCGCCCTAAGTCCCTTTCAGGGTGAGAAGGGCGGAATATATATACTGTAAATAAATAAATAAATAAATAAATAAATAAATAAATAAAATTATGGGCGGTTGGTACTGGCTTTTTCTCCTCTCCATGGATGACCCTCAACTTATCCTCAAGTCATATCAAAAATCATAATTTTGACCCCCCAAAACCTGCTCTTGACTTATCCATAAGGTCAACTTACATAGAAATATATATGGTATACTTCCTTATCTTTCACACTCTTTCCAATCAGCATCAAAAATCAAATGAATGCTGGTATTTGCATAACATTTGCAATTTCAGATTCACTTCGTAAGTATGGAGCTCTGAAAGTCTTTTCACTTTTCCCCCACTTCATTTCAGTCATTCACAAAATGAGTCCAGGATTGCTTTTGCACAACTCACGAAATCTCAGACATTTAACCTTTTGCTACCCATAAACATTGCACAATCAGGTACACACAGCTCAACACTTCACTTACATCGACATTTTCAGTTCCATTGTTTTTGAGCTGTCAGCTATAAAACAAAAGAACATTTGTCTTCCCCTTAAATAAAACCATACAGAGCTGCTGCAAATAACAATGCTTTTTGAGTTTGAAATATTTAATGCACTGCACATGCCAAAGAATCCCCTGATTTCTCTACAGAATGTCACTAAAGAAACATCAAAACAGGAAACAAAGACATCGTTAATGATCCTTAAATGTTAAAACTCCAATTTCCATCATATATCTTGATATCTTCCACACTGTATTCAGCCTCACATTATTCCTAAATATACCTTGGGATTCTTTTTAATGCTTTGAGGGTTCTTTTAGTAGGGGAAAACACATTAGGAATACAAGTGTTAACTGCATTAAAGCTTTTTAATTATTCTTTACAGCAAGATCATGCAAGGTCATCCCATTTCAAACAAAATATTCATTTTCTATTTAGGTGTTTTCCTAGATACCAGCAGATATTTGTGTTTCATTTGATAGAGATCAAAGTTTTTTCACCTAAATCAGTCAGATTTTTTAAAAAGCAGCAACGTCGTTTAAATGTTTTTTAAAAAAATAGCCTCCTCTGAAGAAAGATATAAAAAGTGTGGTAATGCTGATGACAGAGACCTTCAAATAAAAACCCTTTGAGATTCCTCCTCAATCTCTCTCTCTCTCTCTCTCTCCATTTGCTATACAGCAGCTGTGCCTCACACAAATTCACATGAATGAAAATATTTAGGCGAGAAACCACCCCCTTAGCTTGTTTTCCATATGACTTTCCTGTAATTATTTTGTAAACTGTTCGCACAACAATATATAAAAACATCTGCAAAAACAGGTAATTAATGTGTCAAGCCAAACTAATGCATTTTTATGGTGGCCATGCTTCGTCAACTGTAATTATAACTCTTTTTAAGCAAATGATGATGTGTTTGTTGCAATGTGAAAGTGGTTATTTTGAGATGCTCTGTTCGCCATTACTGCAAACAGAATATTAAAAAAGAAAAAAAGCGGGGGGAGACCATACAGCGACTATAATAGGATTCCCAGTCATTTCTAGTCATCTGTTTTCTTCACTGCAAACTAAGTTGCATCTTAAAAAATGAATGTTTCTTCTATTTGCGCTAGTGCTGAATCGAGCTAGTCAGGTCAAAATGAATTCTCCTATGCCACCAAAAGGTAAATACAACAAAACAGGAAAAAACCTATTAATCCCCCACCTACAAGGGCAGACTCACATGCAGCACTTGTACTTGTGGCAACTTCACCAGTATGATATTTGTGCATTCCACAGTTTATATATACATATATACAGGGCTGTAGCCAGAAAAAAAATTGGGGGGGGGGGGGTTGAAAATTTCGGGGGGGGTTGAAACCTGCCTCCTAACTCATGCTGAAGCAAAGAGCATAGCAGGGGGCAGAGCAGCCTTCAATAGCCTGCAGCTCCCCTCCCCTGTCAACCACCTCCACCAAGTCTGGCCTCCTTAATGAGAGCATTCAACACCCCCCCCCCACAACGTGGTTGCTTCGCTACATCGGCTATTGCTGCAAGTAATGACAGTGTGAATAAATTGTCAATATTTGCTTGAGATAGTGCTGCCAGTTCTGGAGGGGCTCTTAATTTTTTGCGTCTCATAGACTTAGCATGGGGATTTGGTTAACCAGTTAAAATTCATGAGTAAACCGTGTGTGTGTGTGTGTGTGTGAATGAGAAATCCAAAAACCCTCTGAGATGCTCAACCTGTAATTATGGGTGAAAACATTTGAAGGTTCCCTATCCCTTCATGGACAGGGAACCTTCAGGCTAGAAACAAAAGATATCTGAAGTGGGGCCCAAGACTTATGTCAATAGAGCTCTCTGTCAAAGTGATGATGTTCTGGCAACCACCAAAGACTGCCAGAAACTGATTGCGACCTTGACTCAAAGTGAACATGCACTGAGGAGATGTGGCCAACCCATGGCACATATCCATTAGATGTTTTTTATGACATTCATCAGTCACTCATATCCTACGAATTTCCTACAAAAAACAAACACTAATAT